TCAATTCTGAATCCTTCATCCAAATCTCATTCAATTCACAAAAAGGATTAGATCAAGCACTCCAAATCTCAATTCATAATCAACATTTCTCTAACACCAAACTCAATCATGAAACCAATCAATTTATTAACAACATCATTGCTCTCAGAGATATTCCTCTTAACACCGAAGAAAGTCTCATAAGATTTGTTTTCTCCAGATTTGGACACATAGTGGAACTTCGAAAAAAGATTATCAACCAATAACAATACATAACAATCTGTTACTCCAACATAGATAAAGTCAATGATGCACTATCACACTGGTCCATCCTTGTAGACAATGATCGAGTTAGAATTCTTCCTCTCATCAATCAATATCAAACTATAATAACTCGAGAGTGACACAAACTTAAGCTAATAAACTTACCATACAGATGCATCACATATGAATTAGACGAATTTCTCTCATCTATAAAAGCCAGATCCTGTTTTATCCCAAGATCACCTGTCAAATATCAACGACAATGCTTCACTTGGATCCTCTTTAAATCTGAACTGGATACTGCATTTGTCATGCAACAACACATTATTCTCAGAAATTCGCAACTAAACTGGGAATTACCTACAGCTATTACATGTAATATGTGCTTTAAAATAGAACATCAAGCTTCAATTTGCAAGAGTAAATTATGCTGTTCCATTCAATACAAACAATTAAACAAGTTATATCAAAAAAGAGAATTGGAAGTTCATAAACCAAAAATCAGTATACCCACTTCTATAAAAAAAATTATACAAACAAGCTCTCTTACAGAATTCATCTACAAATTCCAAAAAAACAGAAAGACAGACTAATTTTTCTGACAACACAAAGTCACCTATGCTACGTTCTTGGAATCAATCAAACCTTAATAACTTTTACAACACTCCTATCAACAATTCTCTAAACTTAATCTCATCTATCCATAACACAGTCACTTCACTTAGAAATGACGTCAACAATATCATGGCAAAATTTCAACAACTCGATTCCAAGCTCGATAAAATTCTCAACACTCTTATTACTCAAACACCAAGTTCTAAAACTTCTATCTACATACAATTTAATGATATAACTAACTCACATAATCATAATGACAACATCAATGACATGTTCATTCAGAATAATGAACCCATTAACAACATCATCAACACTCTTTACAAAACTTCCTATTTTGATAAGCTTGTCATCAATCAACTACATCAAAAAGATGTTATAATCAATGAACTCACAAACCAAAATAAATAACTCTACAAATCATACAACACTCTCAGTGAAAGATTACTCCAACTTGAACAAAATATTAACAATGTACTCTCACAACAACAATAAAACACAATTTACTTTCAACGTCACGACAATTCTGTCTTTACAAAATAGCATACATAACAATACAACAAACACTTACTCTCCATCCTTCAATAATATCGGTATTAAATTATCAAACACATTAAAAATATGCATGCTAAATACAAGAGGTCTGAACTCACCAAACAAAGCAAACAACATCTTATAATTTTTTTACTCTAATAATATCAACATCCTTTGTCTTACAGAAACAAAACTCAAACAATAATCAGCAAAATTCCTATTTTCAAAATCTGATTTTTATAATCATATTTTTACTGTCAACAACACACATCCTTTTGGTCATGGAGTTAGCATACTGATTAAATACGAATGGACAAAATATATACAAAAAATCATCACAATCGAAGGCCGTCTCATAAATATCACTCCCACTTTTTTAGGTAACATTACAATTCACATCACTACATGTTACTTTCCAGTATCACTCTTGTCCCACAACAAACAAACGAAAAATAAACTTCTAAAAAAAATAAATCACATCCTACAACAATCTGATTACAACATCATTCTTGGAGATTTCAATGAACACTTTTTCTCTCCACCAAAAAATGGAATTATCAATTTACTTCAATTCAAAGGTCTATACGAAGTCATAGATACTATACATCCACAAAGAACTGATCCCACCTGGAAATGCCAAAACTCAGAATGAAGACTTGACATGATATGGTGTTCCCAAAAATTTGCATCCTTACTCATTCACTCAGTAATTACTGATTCTCTATGGATCAATACAGATCACTCATCTGTCTTTTGTGATTTATCATCCACAAATATATTATATCGCACCCCTCTACATATCCTAAAGAAACAAAAAACAAAACAATTGGCTTACATCACTCAAAACTCACCTCCAGAAACATGAAAAAACTATTACAACCACATAGAATCAAGCTGTTTTATCACAATCTTCAAACAATCTTGATGACATTAATTCATTATGGAACTTCATCAAAAATACTATTCTTGAAGCAGCCAATTCAACCTTAAAAAAGAAACAACTAAATCGCACTCCTCAACTCTCAAAACAATTTTCCCAAATAAATAAAAGGCTCAAACTCATTATCAAGACTATTACCCTAATCAATACTTCTAATCTTCACAATAACAACAATCTCTACAATATTATAATCAACAATTTCATACAAATAAGGTTGCTTGCCAAAATCTCTTAGTGACTGTCTAAATTCTGTCAAAATTATAATAAACTATTAGTAAATAACTTGTCGAAATTCTGACGAATTTTGAAATCCGTCATAACTGAAATTATGTCAAAATTCTAATTAACAATTAGTGTGTAACCCATCGAAATTATGACAATATTTTTCTGAAAGAATTTAGGCAAGCATCCTTATTTGCAACTGATAAATTTTGTTAATTATATTGAATAATTCAATATATTTAGCATTTAACTTTCTTGTTAATTAATAAATATATTAATAAAACAAGTTAATAAAAGAACTTTTTGACTAATTTCAAATTTTTCAAATTTGCAATATTGATTTGCATATTTTTGTTATCTATTTTGAGCTTCTATCAATACATTTTTTGCTGTTTTTATTATTGTATTTCAATATTCTAGAAATTCTTGAGAGACTACTTATTATTAGTATTAATAGAGATGGATATGTAAGGTAATTATTCAAAATTTAATTCAAATAGAGTATATTAAATGAATATTTATTTATTATTATTGTAAGTGAATTCTGCAATAATTAAACAGTTATTCCAGTTATCTTGTTTATATATAATAAAAATTCTAAGTATCTCTTTCAAACTTCTATTTAATCTTTCAGTTTGATTATCAGTTTGTGAATAAAAAGCTATTGATATAACCAGTTTAATGTTCAATTAAGTAAATAATAACTTTCAAATTTAACTAATAAATTTGGTATTTCTGTTTAAAATAATAGTTTTTGATAATCTATATAATCTAAATATCTTATTAAAGAATATTTTTGCAATGTCTGGTGCTGTAACAATAATGTATATTGGAATAAAGTGTACTTTTTTGTAAATTTGTTAACATAAACAATAATAGAATCATAATCTTGTTTGATTTTTGATAGTTGTATTATGAAATCTATTGTAACTTGTTTCATTTATTTTGAGATATTGAAAAAGATTATAATAATTCACTTGGCTGTTAATTATTACTTTTATTGTATTAATATAACTTACAACTGGTGATATATTTATAAATATTTTTATTTATCTTTAACCAATAAAATTATTGACTAATATTAATATATATCTTGTTGATTTCAATATATCTAGCAATAGATGTATTATGATATTCAAATAAGATTTTTGTCTTCAAATTTTTGTTATTTGAAATGATGAGTCTAAATATGTTCTTTAAATAAATTCTATTATTTTTCAATTCAAAATAATAAGTTTTTGCTTGTTCTTTTGATATTACTTCTTTTATATACTGCAATATTGTCAAAATTTCTTTAAAATATGTGTTTTCATTATACTTCTCAATTAGTTCATCTTTACTAATTAATTTAGTATTAATAGTACTAATATTGATAAAATATATTTGATAAAATAAAGCATCTGCTATTATATTATTTTTTTTAGATTTGTATTTTACATCAAAGTTATTAACTTATAGTATTTTTAATTAATATACTTGTCTTTTGGATAAGTTATCTTGAGTTTTAATATATTCAAGTAAAGTATGATTAATTACTACAATAAACTTTTGACCTTCCAAATATGATCTCCAAAGTCTAATTGTGTATATAATTATTAGTAATTTTTTATGAATTAAATAGTTTTGTTTAGCTAAAGTAAGTTTTCTTGATTCCTAAGTAATTGATTGTTTATCTTTATTTTGATTTTGACTTAATACTGCTCCAATAACATATTTTGAAGTATCAGTAATTGCTGTAAAAGATAATTTTGGGTCTGATAATATTAAAATTAGTGCTGTGATTAAATATTATTTCAAAAGCTTGTTGTTTTGCTTTTTGTCAATTATATTTTTGATCTTTGTATAAAAGTTTTATCAATAGTAATACTATTACTAAAAAATCTTATATAAATTTGTGACAATAACTTGCTAGTCCTAGAAATAATCTCAACTCAGATATATTTGTTGATTTTAATTAATCTTTTATTATAGTAATTTAGTATTGATTAACTAAGATTCCATCTGCTGAAATAAAGTATTCAAGATATTTAATATACTGTTTAATGAGTTTATATTTCTTCAATTTGATATATAATTTGTTCTCTTATAATATTTTTAATACTGTCTTCAAATATTGTAGATGTTTTTCTTTGGTCTTGCTGTAGATTAAAATATTATTCAAATAAATAATAATAAATTTATCCAAGTATTTTTGAAAGATTGTATTTATAAGTATTATGAAAGTTACTGGAGTATTTGTTAATTCAAAGTGTAAAACCAAGAATTCAAAGTGTTCATATCTTGTTCTAAATGCAATTTTATGAATATCTTTATTTGTGATATAATTTTGGTAATATTCAGAATATAAATCAAGCTTTATAAAATATTTTAATTTAACTAATCTATCTATAAGTTTATCTACACAAAGTAATAGATATTTATTTTTGATAGTGATTTTGTTGAGAGCTCTATAGTTAATATATAGTCTCAAAGTTTCTTCTTTCTCATGAACAAATAAAACTGGTATTTCAAATAGTGATATACTTGAACAAATAAAATCTTTATTCAACAAGTCAGTTAATTGAATCTTCAATTTATTTATTTTTACAAATAATAATTTATATTATTATCATTTCAATATAATGTTATATTTATTTTCAAAAATTCTATAATTAACAAATCTTTCAAAAATAATAGAAAATAAAAAAATCTTCAAAAATAATAACAAAATAACAAATTGATAAAAATAGTATATATATATCAATTATTTAATAATCATATTATTATTATTATTATTTATCTTTTCTACCTTTATTTTCTATCTTTTTTACTCTTTTTACCTTTATTTTTTACCTTTTCTACTCTTTCTATCTTTTATTATTTATCTTTTTTATCTTTTCTATCTTTATTATTTATCTTTTTTTTATCTTTTATATCTTTATTATTTACCTTTTTTATCTTTTATATCTTCATTATCTATCTTTTCTATCTTTATTATTTATCTTTTCTATCTTTTCTACCTTCATTATTTATCTTTTTTATCTTTTCTATCTTTATTATTTACCTTCACTATCCTTACTTTCTATCTTTTTTATCTTTTTGTATTTACCTTTTCTATCTTTTATATATATCTTTTTATAATTTTATAATGAAGATAAAACTAAAATGTATTGAGAAATTTTGTATAAATAGAAGTGCTCTCTCATGTTTCAATCTCATGTTTTAATACTTAAATAAATTAATAAATTTTAATCTTGATATAATAAGTTAATAATTATCTTATTGTTATAAAATTAATATTTATCCTTGTATCTTCTTCTATTAAAACAAGTTGCCTAGCAAAAATAATTTGTTGATTGAACTTTAAATCTTGTAATTCAAGTTGCTTTTTATAAATCTTGAATGAGATCAAGAAACTGAATATTGATTTGTGTAGAATTAAATTTCTGATTATTACTTTTATCTTTGAATTTGGAAAAGATAGTTAAGTATTTTTGGATAAGTATATTGATTTGTTATAGTATTATTTTTGGTATAATTGTATACTACAACTTTAAATAAGTAATATTAATTGTATATTTGTGTACTGCAACTTTAAATAAGTGATATTGATTTGTATAGTTGTATACTATAACTCTAAATAAGTGATATTTCTTTTAATTAATCATTTTTTTTGGTATTAAAAGCACTAAAATATATAATTACAAGTATAAAAATATTAATACTCTTTTTTTTA